TTTCAAGATGCTGATGCAGAAGTTCATCCCATCTCTATTTGAACCAGAGATTGGTTTGTGACCATCGATCTAAGGATGTGTACTTTTGCATCCAGATCGTCAAGAGACACAGGAAGTTCCTCAGGTTTGCTTTTGGAATAAAGCTTGCCAATACTGTATTCTTCCATTGAACTGGCCTCAAACGCAAGGTGAATGGATGCGTCTCTGGCCCTGTTGTGCGGGGTGTCTGAATTACCTTGATGATTGGCTGATATTAGCTCAATTACACAAACTGTTTGGAGCAGCGTTTCTGGCACTCAAACGGTTCTTACCCAATTGAGTGGTTGTCACATTAGGTCAAGGACTGACAACACGGCTGTGGTCTCATACATGGATTGTCAGAGAGGATTACGCTCTCGCCCCCTGTGCAGGTTGGTGAGATGTGTTCTTCTTTGGACACAGACCAGGTTCCTGTCGATCAGAGCAGTTCATGTCCCGGGTCACCTGGAGTGGACTTACTCTTGAGACAGAGTTTGGAGGCTGGAGAATGGAGATTGCACCTTCAGGTGGTGAGTCTCATATGACAGAGGTTCAGCCGAGCGGAAGTGGTTTTGTTTGCTTAGAGCATGCGCATTGCCCGCTCTGGTTTCCTTGTCGCCTCTGGGTGTGGACGCTCTAGCCCAAGAATGGCCCAGGACCAGTCTTATGCCTTCCCCGTTGACCCATTTGCTCCCAAACGATTCTGTTCAGAGTAAGGTGGTGCCGTTTTGGCCCACTTGTACGTGGTTCTCAGAATTGGTCAATCTGTTAGCCGACCCCCTTAGGAGGTTCCCCTCAGACACAACCTGCTGACTCAGGCTCGGGGCATGATTTGGACATCCCCATCAGGATTTTTGGGTGTGACGCCTGAGCGGAGTTGTAATGTGTTCCGGTCTCTTGGCAGAGATTACCGACACTATTCTTAATTCTAGGGCTCCCTCCATGAGACGCTGTATGCCCTTAAAGGAACACTCCACTATTTTTGAAAATAGGCTCATTTTCCAACTCCCCTAGAGTTAAACAGTTGAGTTTTCGAATCCATTCAGCCGATCTCCATGTCTGCCGGTAGCACTTTTAGCTGTAGCTTAGCATAGATCATCGAATCTGATTAGACCATTAGCATCTCGCTCAAAAAAATAACCAGTTTCTATTTTTTTCCTGTTTCCTGTTCCTGACTCTTCTGTAGTTACATCGTGTACTAAGACCGAAGGAAAATGAAAAGTTGCAATTTTCTAGGCCGATATGGCAAGGAACTACACTCTCATTCTGGCGTAATAATCAAGGAACTTTGCTGCCGTACCATGGGTGCAGCAGGCGCAATGATATTACGCAGCGCCTGAAAATAGTCCCCAGCACGCTCCCTGAGCAAGAAACTCTTTGGTCATTTTTGAGCGAGATGCTAACGGTCTAATCAGATTCAATGATCTATGCTAAGCTACAGCTAAAAGTGCTACAGCCAGACCCGGAGATTGGCTGAATGGATTCGAAAACGGT